TACATAACACATCCAAAATTAAAAGTTATAAATAATTTTTTTACATTGGAGGGAAGGAGAAAATAAAGACACACGGAAATAGAGGACAAAGAAAGAAATTACTCCTATTTATTATATAATTTACTAATATTTAACGAAATTACAGCCTACAAAATGTAACAAAAAAACGTATGGGCTTTTTAAAATAAGCAAATGGCCCAAATTCAGTTTGATATTAATTAAAATGTGACTCTAGCTTCGTCTTCTTCACGCAGAACCCTAATTTTTAGGATCAATACTCTTTTTGCTTCTTTGAAAATTGTCACCGCCGAACCCGAATTGGCTAATAAACTGCCGATTTTTCTTAAACCACGGTCAACGCGGTGAAAATTCGGTCTTCCGCATAGTACCTCCGAACAGCTCATCTCGCCACGGTGACCACCGCCCACCGACTTCTCGACCGTAGAATAACCAATTCGGCCGAGTTTTAGAACAAAGCCCATAATACATGATGGAAGAAATTTATCGCTGAAATTATATTTTTTTCCCTTTGCTTTTTATTTTCTCTTTTTCACGCTTTTACTTTGCCACATGTACCATTCACACCATAGGGAATGATACAACAAGTGACTCCTAAATTCAACTATTTGTTGATGATTACAGAGCATTTATAAATCACAATAATGATTATTTATTAAATTTTTGAGATTTCTAATTTCTCTCATAATATTAGCATCATAAAAGCACCTCAATGAGGTCATGAAAAGGTTTAGCACCTCTTAATTAATAAACAAAACAAACAGCACACAAAAAGTAAAATATTTGTGTTCTTAGGCTTACTCAGACTCATGAGGAGAATCTAAAGAAAGAAACAACGTTCACTTGGAAAAAGACAGTAGAATTAAAATTAAATTGTTTTTGGTATAACATTTCTTGTTTTGGGGTCAATGCATTTGCAAAAGAACATAAATATTATACGCATTAACAAACAAAAGATGTCTGTTTTTGAGACCACATGATATAATAAGATATATGTGGTTTTATTTTGTGGTTGTCTACTTGTTTGTAATGGTTTGCCTTAAGCATTTACTTATATGCTTTCGTCAATGACATGACAAATATATCAATTTTAAGCATTCATCTCATAGA